GTATCTTTTTCTTGTAGAGTAGGCACATCTATATGTGGCCAGATGCACACACATCAAGCGGCCATATGCGCCCAAATCCAGCGGCTCAGCTAGACAACGACGCGACTAAGACAAAGGCCATGGTAGGGGGTGGGGTGAGGTGGGAGGAGGAGGGGCCGTCGTGCTGGAGATGGAGGTTACCAAGAAAGTGGCAACAACGATGATGGCGCGGTAGGGTTTGGGGGGTTTGGGGGCGGCTGGGAGGAGGGGGAGAAAAAGGGGCGCCTATGTCCACGACGGGCGGGCCTGGGAGGACACGGACACGCTGTAGGAATGAAAGTATGTCTAGAGGAGGGTGATTAGACTATTTGACCAAATAAAATTCTATCCTTTTCCCAGTTTTAGTTGTGGGCAGATTTTAGCTATTAGCACAAGTCAAGCAATCAGCCTACACATGCAATTCTAAGAGTATAGCAACAGAAAGTACAACATTCCATATGAAGGTAAAGGGGAGGGTTTGGACAAGGCAAACGCAATGGAAACACGGAGATTTTTGGCATGGTTCCGATAGGTGGTACTATCGCATGTCCACATTGATGGAGACTTTAACCCACGAAGGGTAACGACTGCATGAGTCCACGAAGGGCTCCACCCATGAAGGGTCCACGAAGAAGCAACCTTGTCTATCCCACCATGGCCATCGACCACGAAGGAGTTGCCTCACTCGAGTAGATCTTCACGAAGTAGGCAATCTCCTTGCCCTTACAAACCTCTTGGTTCAACTCCACATCATGACGAAGGCTCCCAAGTGACACCTAACCAATCTAGAAGACACCACTCTCCAAAAGGTAATAGATGGTGTGTTGATGATGAACTCCTTGCTCTTGTGCTTCAAATGATAGTCTCCCCCAACACTCAACTCTCTCTCTCTCTTAGATTTGGCTATGGTGAGAGAGTTATTTAGTGGAAAGCAACTTGGGGAGGGCTAGAAATCAAGGTTCAAATGGTAGGATTGGACTTTCTTGATCTCAACACATGAGTAGGCAGTTCTCTCTCTGAAAATGTATGGTGGACGTCTAGGCACGTTCTGATGGCTCTCTCACAAATGGAGAAGGGGGTGGAGGGGCATATATAGTCTCCACACAAAATCCAACCGTTACACACAATTTACTCATCTCGGTGAGACCGAATAGTTAATCTTGGTGGCACCGATCAGCTCAAAAATGTGATATAGGAATCTCGATGGGGCCGAGTGGAACAACTCGGTGGGACCGATGTGCTAGGGCTTAGGGAAAACACCATCTCGGTGACGCCGATTGCATCAACTCGGTGAGACCAAAGTGAAGCAATAAGCAACAGAGAGTCTGTCAAGCCAACTCGGTGAGACCGATTGCATAACTCGGTGAGACCAAAATAAATGCAACAAGTCACAGAGCGCTGGCAAGGCCATATCCACTATAAACCCCTTGCACGAGGTGCTCCACCATGAATACAAATCAGAAGCATGATGTAGGATATTACCTCTCATTGAGGGCCCGAACCTAGGTAACCTGCTTGTGCGAACTCCCTTCTGGCACTTTTGACCGTGTTTACCACCCTAGTGAGGGTACTAATGGCTCTAAGTACCATCACATCTATGCGTGCTTGCTAGTTAGTCAATGCAGCGGATCAAAGGATGCCCTTTGTGAGCCTAATGGATATCAACGGTGTTGCTTTTTCACATCGTTGCTTTTTCAACCCAAAAATCCAAAAAGAGATATCATCACATTGTAAAGATTGTGGCTAATAAATCACGAATCAATGCATGCCTTTTCCAGCCCGATGGATATCAGTCCCCGGGGATTAGATATCGCCACACTGAATGCGTGGAGCAAATAAATCCAATGCATTTTTAATTTTCATCAGTCTTTCCCCTCTTCGCTAGACCCTTTCACGCAAAGAC